GTCTCACGGTAGTCTCTGGGGTTGGACACTCCAGGGAGTCTCACGGTAGTCTTTGGGGTTGGGCACAGGGCGATGTGATTAGCTCCGAAATGCACAAGCAGCCGTTCGAGACACACATCCGTGTCATTACAAAACATCATCACCGGTGAAGACACTCGATTCCACGAGCACCCGTTCGAAACGCAAGTGGCAGCACACCACATCAAAGCCAGCCATTCCCCATCTAGACGCTCGATCCCACAAGTGCCCACTGGAGGCACACCCCATCTAGACGCTCGATTCCACAACCGCCCGCTCGAGACGCGCATCAGTGGCATGACAGCACATCAAAACCAGCCATTCCCCATCTAGACATTCGATTCCACAAGCGCCCTTTCGAGACGCACATTAGTAGCATTGACAGCACATCAAAACCAGCCATTCCCAATCTAGATGCTCGATTTCACGTTGAACCATCCGATCGTGCACAAATAGAAGTGATTGCTTGAACGCCGTTTCCCGAGTGTCGACGCTCATCGTTGCGTATTTCAACCCAGCGATGCGAGATAAAGCCACCACTTGTAGGAGCAGCTGGACCAGCAGCTGTAGGACAGGTAGTAGCGGCAGCCACTTTGCTGAATCTACTACGACAGCGATTACGTTGCTGTCTGCTCCATGCAATTACTACCTGTTGCTTCCTGCGCTTGCGGCGGAAAGGACTGCAGTCATCGTCCGCGGCCTGCGCAGCCTCGACGGGGCTGGAGCCGGCCAAGCCAAGCTCCTTGGCAAGGTAGCGCTCGATGGCCTTGGACTGGCCGATCTTCACGCCTCGGAGTGGCGAACTTCAGGACTCAGGGCTTTAGGGTTTAGGGTTTAGGCTCTCTGGGTGTTTTGCAGCCTGCTTGAGAAGTCAGAAGTACCTCAAGCTGATGGATGTTACCGGGGTCCCCACCGTCCACCTCCAGCAGTGGCACTTTGCCAAGAGAGATGTCGAGCTCACCCTTGGCCTGCTGAGTCATGACTGCAAAAGAGACCCAAGGTTTCTTTGAAATACCTCCTTTCCTTTCTCACCAAGCTTTAGTAACTTTAGTACAAGTACTTGCGCTCTTGGCCTTCATCGCATCGAACTCTGGCCGCTGCATGGTGCTGAAGTCTCCGGGCGTTCCGAATGTCAAGGAGAGACGCACATCTTCGTAAGGCTGCTGTGCAACCGCGAGGAAGATGCGTGCGTTCTCAGCAAGGCCACGGATGTCGAAGTAGGTAAGCTTGTAGCTGGGCATTTTGAGGGCGCAGCAACGGACGGAGGGGCTACTGACGGCTACTGGGGGCACTGGTGCAAGGAGTCCTTCTTGGGCATAAAACAGGTCGAGTCAGAGTCAGTCTTGCCAAAATTGCCGCTTCGCTTCTGATTGATTACAGCTACAAATACGAGTATGTGCGTGCAGGTACACATCCTATGGTTGTGGCAAACCTGCCTATACATGTGTCAGAACATCCCCACCCCTAAAACCGAAAAGAAAGCGCTCACGCACTCAGCCGGAGAACCTCAAACTTGCCCTGCTAACATGGAGGCAAGTGCAAGTCAAGCCTGCAGGGGAAAAAGTCCCCCAAGAATCAACAGGGCTCCCCTGTCTTGATTCGCTGGAGTCTACCGAATCTTGCATCTGTCGCGCCTGAGCACCCGTAGACAAACAGCTTTTTTTGTGCAACAGCCTGCAAGTGGTGCAAAAGCATGTAATTAACGAAAACCACAGAGGACGCAAATGAACATGTCACAAGTCTGCATGAAGATTATACGACCGCTTCCTGCATTGCAAGATCCATGGTGAGGATCAATGCCCTTGTCGGCCGCTTGCTTGAAGACTTTACGTCAGCAAAATGCATATGCTCAAGAGTCGAGCTTTTTCCGTCGCAAACATGCAGTATGGATCCAAGGGCACAGCTTCGCGTCCCTCGATTGCGGCACGGCTTTCCCGATCGCAACGCCCGATCTCTGTGCTGACTCCCCGAATGCGTGCCTACCAAAGTAAGGGAGCCCCAGTTTCAAAAACCCCCATACATATCATACTCCACCCAGCTACCAGCCTGTGCAAGCAACAGGCAAGCCTTCTTGCCCGCAAAACATGAAAAGGCCAGTCTCATGACTGGCAGGTCGTCACGGCACTGAGACATTCAAGGATATGTGCATTGAATGAACGAACGCAGGCAGGTGTCGGGTCCTGAGAACTCTTCTGAATTCTGTCTGAAGTCCATAGTTCCTCGGGTATCTTGAAAAAGGCTTCTTGCGATGCCTTATTAAAGCCTTTTCGGCGACTACTGTCAGAGGCACTCCACTTCAAGAGTCCCTCCACGCAGGTGTTTCTGCATCCCGGGCCCTCCGTGATCGACCGTCCTTGGCATGCACCACTGCTTCACTACAGATGTGTAGGTGAAACCAACCAGCAGCCTTAGACCTCTAGTGCAACTACTACTACTAGCTAGTACTACTAGTACTGCTGGTACTACTACTATTACTACTACTACTACTACTACTACTACTACTACTTGGTGTAACGTTGTTCCGACCTAGTTCCTAGAAGTTATGAGTTATAAAGTTATAATGTTATATGATGTTATATGGTGGAATTCAGTGTAATTGTAGTCATGTGGGTACTCTACTGCGATTCTACCTACTGGACGAATGGCCGTGCTCACACACACCAGCCTGTGATGGCATTGATTCCGCCATGGGCATGATGCGGCATACGGCGTGCATATCGTTTCAGCAACACGTTGCCGTGCAGTTCTTCATTCATCATTCATATATTCCAGGTTGATCTTATTCTAGTGTTTGTATTTCATGATCGCAGTTTGTCGGTAATCATATGGTCGCATAGTAGCATGGTCCTGCACTCAAAAGTGGGTTGGAATAGTTTGTGCTGCCAGCTGCCGGCAATGTGTGCAAGCCAGATCAGATCCGTAGAATGTACAGTCGTTGCAATCGTACCATAGGTCTGCGCTGGTGTGGTGTCAGCAGACTCATCACTCTGGACAGGGAGTGCACAGATCTCTTTCCTTCTGTGATGTGCCAGCATGACTAAAGACCAAAAATTCAGTGTTAGATCGGCTGTGGGCTGTCTGCGGATTGCATGGCTACCAGATCTCAAATCGACAGCAGGGGACAAACGCGAAGTGTTTGCGTTGCGTCAGCGTGTTCGGAGAATGTGTGCATTGGTTGATGTGGGCAATGCAGCTGCGGTTGCAAGTTGCAGCTATGGCTATGACTTGTGTTGCTGCCTCTAGGTCTCCAATATGACAGATTGAGCATCATGCACAGTGGCATTGGGCATGCGGCATTACGATTGTTCGATCTGATGACATAGCTAGGCAGGTTGTCATTGTCAATTGTCATGACTGGTTGTGTTTGAGATTGATCTGAGCGATTTCGGCCAAGTTTGGCCCCATGGCCCCAAAGGGCAAGAAGGCGTCGGCAGACAGTGGCTCTACAGCGGCTGCAAAGACGAAATCGGCCCCGAAGCGGAAAGCTTCGCCAACGCCGAAGGCGAAGACGACTCCGAAACCTCAGCCTAGTGCCAAGGCAACAGAAGGTATCGTGACGCACACAAAGCAGCTGATTGTTCCGCCAGCCCCTGAGCCACGTCAGCCGCCGCCTCCGGAGATGAAAGTCTACTGGGACAAGTTCTTCACACATCCACCGCCGGGGAAAAGGAAGGCTGATGACATGGAGGGTGTGAGTCAGAGTGAAGATGCTGCTCCATCTTCGTCAGCAGCTCCGATAGCAGCAGCATCGTCAGCTGCGTCAGCTGCTGATGATCCGGCTGGGGCTGGGGCTGGGACTCCTGGGTCACTTGTTCCAGTGCTCGAAGGTCTTCCCGCAGCAGCAACGGCAGCTGCCGAAGGCAGTGAGCTTCGTGCAGCACATCCCACGGCTTCCGGTGGCGAAGGTCTTCCTACATCAGCAACTCCTATTGATCCGGATGTAGCACATCCCGCGGCTTCCGGTGGCGAAGGTCTTCCTACATCAGCAACTCCTATTGATCCGGATGTCAAGTCGGACGGTGAGGTTACTCCAGATGGTTTCGCCGTCAAGATGACGGAAGACATGTGGTTAGAGGAATTGCAGGAATCACTGGATGCTGATGAAGGCGTTGGCAACAGTTCTCGAATTGTAGGTCAGCAAAGATGTAGCACAAGTGTTCAGCTGCAGTGCATAGTACACGGAGGTGAATCGCGCCTTGCCGTTGCCAAAGGGCTACAATCCTTAAAGTCGATGGCCAAGGACTTGCAGGGAACACCGCAGGGCTGTGTCGGTTGCGCAGTTGAGCAGTTTGAGTCTGAGTTGAGCAGTTGACTGTGTCGAATCCTTCTCAGGAGCAAGTGCAACAGCTTGTCACGGCACTGGGTCGCGATGTTCTTATTGCCGGCAGCAGCGGTATGCCGCAATCGGTGCAGCTGACGTCAGCCTGCACAGGATTCGGAACATTTGAGTTGGTTGCGCAAGCATCCTTTGACGAATTTGAAGCAGTTGTCAACCACTGCTTCACAGAGTCCTGACTGAACTTCACTTGATATCCATGTTGGTCCATGCTGTGCCATTCCCTGTGGTCACGTGATTCTATTGCCTTGCTGTGACGTTGAGGTGGATAGTGTGTTTATGTGCGAGATCGTTGCGTTCAAGCAGAAGTTTCTGAAAGACGTGGTTTCGGACGTTTTCTTTCTCCAGGTGTGATGACCGAGTCTGGGTTTCAACTCATGTGTCAAATGCTGTGTCGGCTGTAGTCTGTATCGACTGTGACTGTTCCCTGGAAGGGTGGCTGTCTGTTCAAAGATATCACGAAGCTCTCCGACGAGAGCCAACGGCATTGTGTGATTCACAACCGCAGCTGTGTGTCTGAGCTAATTAAACTTCGTGATTGATTGAAACATGGTGGCTGTTGCCATAAGTTAGGAACTGAAGACCTCAACGGATATCGGCATGCTGTCGATCTTCTGCGCTGGCTTCAGCTGCAAGTAACTTGACAAACTGTTGGTGCAGGCGCATGATATATTTCCGTCTGGCTCGGTTTTTGCTTCCGAATGAATGAGGTCTTTCAGCCGTATGAATTCAGATTTCGAATTGTTGAAACGTGCTATGGCAGATGAGAAGGACCCGGGAGCAAATTGGAGTGAATGATTGCAACCTGTCCGAGTTTGTGAGCATGCCGGCTGAGGATTGTTCGTCGGTTGCAACATTCAGGGGAGTATGTCAAGTGCTTTCCGAGTGCCAACCTTTGTGTTTTCTCCTGGAGAATGTGGATTCCTTGGAGACGAGCGACGATGAGCGGCTTGTCGGCAGAACATTGCTGATTGTTTACAGCTTTTAGTCGCTGTGGCCGATGCAGCTACTAGCCTCGTTTGCCCAGGTCAGGCCAATCGAATTTGCACATGATAAAGACATATTTGTCTGGCATGGGCTATGCCGTGCGTGTGGAGAGAGTACGATCCGACAACTACGGCCTCCCGCAGCGACGCGTGAGACTCCTGTTCTTTGGACTAAGGGATGCCAGTACACTTGCTGAGACGAAGGAGACCACATTGGATCGCGTTGTTGATCGAATGTCTCTTCTTCAGCGTCCTTGTGCTCCGGTCGAAGCTTGGTTTTCAGTGGTCACTCCATGTGAGCGGGAAGATTGCAAATTTGCCAATACCAAACTCATTTGAAGTTGAGGGTTGGAGTTGGAGTTGGAACTTCTAGGCTTCTCGGTTTAGTTTAGATTAGAGTCAGAGTCAGAGTCTAGTTTAGTTAAGTCTGTATGGTTGTATAGTACTTAATTGCTATTACTGCTGTGCTGTTAAATAGTTCAAGTTGTAGCCTCCGGGTCGTAGCCGTAACACATAGCAATACAACAACAACAACAACAACAACAACAACAACAACAACCACAACAACAACAACAACAACAACAACAACACGAGCAAACTGCGACGGCGACTGCTACTGACTGCCACTGCTATTGCTACTGCCGCCGCCGCTGCTGCTACTACTACTACTACTACTACTACAACCACCACCACCACCACCACGACGACCACCACCACGACCACCACCACGACCACGACCACGACCACGACCACGACCACGACCACGACCACGACC